AACGATTGGTGGAATGATGATGTAAAGAAAAGTTTGCATATGAGAGGATTTTACAAAGTAGAAGTGATGCAAGGAGGGGAGAGTATATGGAAAAAAGAGAGGTTAAGAAAGTGGTGAAGCAATGTAAAAAGAGAGCAAATGAGAGAGTGGGTGAGATGTTATCAACAAATTTTGTTGAAAATAAGAAAAAGTTTTGAAGCGAGATTAAAAAGTTAAGGAAACCTAGAGAACAAATGGATTCGTCAGTTAAAAATAGGAGAGGAGAGTTATTAAATGGAGAGTTAGAGGTATCTGGGAGTTGGAGGGAACATTTTGAGGAATTGTTAAATGCTCCTCCTGTCCTCTTCAATACTTCGGAGAAACTGGTCGATCTCTTTCTGACAGACTTAGGGAGCACAAAAATAGTGGTAGGCTTGCCGACGCTAACAATGCTCTTTTCTGTCACGTCAGAGATCATAGCCATCCTATTGACTGGTCTTCTGCTAAAACTGTCTTCCCTACTTCCAACTCGAACAGTCGCCGTTTAGTTGAATCCTCTCTTATACACAACTTTCCTTGTATGAACCTTAGCCCTGGCTTCGTCTCTGTAGATGCCTTCCTCTCCCACTACATTGTAAAATGCTCCAAACTTCAGAACACCCGTGACTTAACCTGAATCCTCATATTTTCTTTTTCTTTTTCTTCTTCTTCCTCTTCCCATTTCCTCTTTCCTTTTCTCCTCTGGGTTGTCTTTCTTTCTCCTGTCTCGTGTTTCTGTTCCTTCTTCATTTATTTCACCACTTCCCCTTTCACGCACCTCTGTGCGCTTGCTCTCCCTCTGTGGGCACCTAGCTTTCTTGCAGTGCTCCCCTTCCTTTGTATTTGACTGGCTCGTCGTCCTTATTTCCCACTTCTACCACTACCACTACTACTACCTCTTCTTCTTCTACTACTACTACAACTACTGATGAAATTAAGACACATGTGCGGCGTCTGGTTGTCTTTGTTGTGGACGTTTCGCCATCCAGTGGCTGGCTGGATGGCGAAACGTCTACGATAGGGATGCCCGGGTGTTGTGCATGTGTCTTAATTTCATCTTGTCAGTATTATATACAATTCTTGTACTACTACTACTACCACCACCTCTTCCTGCCTATATATAGCCGTCCTGCTCCACCTCTGGTTAGTGTGACTTTGTCAATGGTCCAAGTCGGACCGAAACGTCGTCGTAAGCTTCTCTCTTTTATGTGCGGGTTATTTGTGTATCGTTCCAGTCACGGTATTGTGACTTTTTTGTTATTTATAAGATAGGGAAGCTGTGATTTCGTGTATAGGGCAAGGAGGAATAACATCTTGTAGGAGTGAGGAAGAGCCAGTTGTGAGTGTGGGGGAAGTTGGTGAGGCAGTGGGTAGAATGAAAGCGGGTAAGACAGCTGGGATTGATGGGATAAAGATAGAAATGTTAAAAGCAGGTGGGGATATAATTTTGGAGTGGTTGGTGCTATTATTTAATAAATGTATGAAAGAGGGTAAGGTACTTAGGGATTGGCAGAGAGCATGCATAGTTCCTTTGTATAAAGGCACAGGGGACAAAAGAGAGTGCAAAAATTATAGAGGGATAAGTCTGTTGAGTATACCTGCTGAAGAGTATGGTAGAGTTATTATTGAAAGAATTAAGATTAAGAAAGAGAGTAGGATAGCAGATGAACAAGGAGGCTTTAGGAAAGGTAGGGTGTGTATGGACCAGTTGTTTACAGTGAAACATGTAGGTGAACAGTATTCAGATAAGGCTAAAGAGGTTTTTGTATGACAGGGTGGATAGGGAGGCAATGTGGCAGAGGTTGCAGATGTTGCAGGTGTATGGTGTAGGAGGTAGGTTACTGAAAGCAGTGAAGAGTTTTTACAAGGATAGTGAGGCTCAAGTTAGAATATGTAGGAAAGAGGGAGATTATTTCCCAGTAAAAGTAGGCCTTAGACAAGGTTGTGTGATGTCACCGTGGTTGTTCAATATATTTATAGATGGGGTTGCAAGAGAAGTGAATGCTCGGGTGTTGGCAAGAGGCGTGGAGTTAAAGATAAAGAATGAAACACTAATTGGGAGTTGTTACAGTTGCTTTTTGCTGATGACACTGTGCTTTTGGTAGATTCTGGAAAGAAGTTGCAGAGGTTGGTGGATGAATTTCGTTGGGTATGTAAAAGAAGAAAATTAAAAATGAATATAGGAAAGAGTAAGGTTATGAGGATAAAAAGATTAGGTGATGAAAAATTCGATATCAGATTGGAGGGAGAGAGTATGGAGGAGGTGAATGTATTCAGATATTTGGGAGTGAACGTGTCACCAGATGGGAAAAGAGTGAGCGGTGCACTTAGGAGTCTGTGGAGATAAAGAACTTTGTCCTTGGAAGCAGAGAGAGGAATGGGTTCAAGCCCCACGTGTGGGGCTTGAACCCGCGGTCAGAGAGTCGTGAAACTCCAGACCGACATGTTATCCTACGATTTCGTGAGTCATTAATCATTAAACTGCTGCCGTGAGATGTATGTTACAACATCACAGTTCCGGTGGCCACCTGAACTGCAATATCTCCAACCCTCCTCTAGAGTGCAGGCACTCTACTTCCATTCTCCTGATTCCCTTATGAAATGCTATCTAGCTCACACTGCATTCTCACGTTAATCCATAAAAAACACTCGTCTTCACTCATTCCGATCAGATGCTAACTCAAGCTAGATGAATACTCAAGACTCTTTCACTTATTTCTTTGATCCTCTCCATCCTTCATACCCTTCCTGGACGACATCTCTCCCTCCTACACGAATTTTATACACCCATTTATTCTTCCTCCTCTAACATTTCTTAATAACGATACAACCTCAAAAATTCCTTCTCAGCCTTCCGAACTTTGTGTTTTGTGGTCTTATTTCACTTAATTTCTACATTCTGAAATCTGTTTATTTTTCATACCAATACATGTCCACTGCCACCACCATTCTTCTCACACCATTCGCATCCATACAGCTGTGCTGGTACCACTATTCTCAACTAATTTTTTTTCTGCCTCTGTGGATGAAAGTTTTTTCTTTACATACACGTCACGATATCCACCTATTTTCAACAACTAGTCTACAATATCAACTTCGTCTGTAATAGACCCATAAGTTGACGCATCCACCTACGAATATTTCAATACACTCACTTTCTCTGTTCCTCCCTCCTGCTTTCTCATGTTATAGTGTACAGACGTTTCTATGTTCACTTTCAGATTTATTCTCTAATACAATCACCCAAACTTATCCATGAAGTTTTGCAACTTCACGATATCCCGCAAAATACTGTGAAAACTGCACTTTCTGTAACATAACTGATCTCTGTGTCTTATGTTCTTTTTTCTCCTGTCTTCCTTCAGACATCTGAGTTATTGTTTCAACCCTTCACATTGTGCTCTGTTTCCTGTTTCCCCTCAAACTTTAGTGTTATTGTTTGAACACCTCACAATAAATTGTTCATCTTGTCTCACCTTAAACTCCAGTGTCATTGTTTGATCCCTCTTATTGGTTTGTATCTCTCCCCACAGCATCCGGCCTTCTCTTGTCTCCCCACAGCCTCCGGTCTTCTCTTGTCTCCCCACTGCCTGCGGTCTTCTCTTGTCTCCCCATAGCCTGCGGTCTTCTCTTGTCTCCCCACAGCCTCCGGTCTTCTCTTGTCTCCCTTTAAACTCAAATAATATTGTACTGTATCTCTTGTCTGCCCTCAGATTCAAGTCATGGTGGATCACTTATATTGTAGTGTGTCAACTACATTGTTCCCACCTCTACAAAATACACCAATTCTATATAATTGCCATGTGAACAAATAATGCCGCTCTAGGTGTGCAGGGAACGTTGTCTCTGATGCAGGACTACAGTTTTGTTTTCCAAATTTAGACCTGAAGCAGTGTTGTCTATGATCAAGGGTTACAACAGTGTTACAACAGTGTTGTCCATGATCAAGGGCTACAACAGTGTTACAACAGTTTTGTACATGATCAAGGGCTACAGCAGTGTTGTACAAGATCAAGGGCTACAGCAGTGTTGAACATGATCAAGGGCTACAACAGTGTTGTACATGATCAAGGGCTACAGCAGTGTTGAACATGATCAAGGGCTACAGCAGTGTTAAACATGATCAAGGGCTAGACCAGTGTTGTACATGATCAAGGACTACAGCTGTGTTGTCGTGACAGAGTTCTGACCTAGACCTAAATTTTTCGACGACAGGTACATAAGTATGTATCGTCCGTGACCTACGTATTATACTGTATTTTCCGAGATCTAAGCTTAAAACTGTTGCACATGATCCAGTCTTACAGCTGTGTTCTTCATTGATCTATGGCCACAGATATGTTGTTCATTATATCAACCAACTGATGTAGTGTTGGTATACTTTTACGTTGCTCTTGATTACAACCTAGAGATGTATTGCTTCTATATTTTTCCTAAATATAGCGTAATGTGAAATTTTGGGATTCATGATGGTTGAGACACCTGGGGAAGATTTGGGAATCTTTATTCTTGAGTCGTTTCTCTAGCGAATGGCTTCGTCACTCCAGTACAGAGAAGAACGGTGGAAGATGATGACTTTCAAGTAATCACTCCCTCAGCCTTGAGTCAATATAACCAGTCTATCACTCTTCATATCCGCATATCCGCGTATAGGGTATATGCTGTGTTACCTCAGACTGCTCCTCATCTTGGAACTCTTCCTCATTGTATTAGACTGAAGAAGCTACTTGCTGGCGAAATGTTTCCAGAAAAAGGAACCCAAATGTTGCTTAAGTGTCTGAACTATCAACTTGTCGGTATTTTAAGCCATTTATACAAATTGGAATAATTGTATTATTTCACTTAATCTGTATTTTGAGATACATAAATTTACAGTATGCTTACTAAAGGAAACCGAGTTATTGATGGATATCTTCACTTTATTTCATTTCAATTTTGTCCAGAGTGTTTTACCATTAGTTTCCACTTTCATGACCTGCCAGTGCCTCCGTCGTGGGTGGTGGAGCCGCAGGATGTCGCTGTCATAGGTGGGGAAGAAGTGGCACTGGAGTGTCACGCTCAAGGTACACCTCCGCCCACAGTCACCTGGAAAAGAACCACAGGTTAGTACCATTTAGGTAATAAGGAATGTACTAAGCTACTGTGAGGGCAAGATTAGGTGTTGTTTGTCGAGGTAATTAAACAGTATAACTTTGATCTGATGCCTTGTTATGTGGTGAAGTTATCGTTATCAATTTTGATATACATGTATCAGCTTGAGTATTTACAATGGTTATTTGATTATTCTCTTCCTTGCAACGTGTCATAACATGTGAAAAACTTTTTTATTCGAACTCAGTTATCCATTGGTTGTTCATTTAAGTGTGGTAAAAGTTCCAGTAATCAGGGTCAGTGTGGGCAGAATATGATCATTTATGAGACAGCTTGAGAGTTGTGAGCAAACTTCACTTCTAAGGTGACGAAGGAGTGTTGTTTCCCAACAATATTCACAATAAGCTGTCATTTTCTCCATAAGATATTCTGTGTTATCTTACACCACATGACATTGTAGGTTATCTTACACCACATAATGTTGTGGGTCATCTTACACCACACGGTACCCTGAGTCATCTTACACCACACGGTACCCTGAGTCATCTTACATCACACGGTACCCTGAGTCATCTTACATCACACGGTACCCTGAGTCATCTTACATCACACGGTACCCTGAGTCATCTTACATCACACGGTACCCTGAGTCATCTTACATCACACGGTACCCTGAGTCATCTTACATCACACGGTACCCTGAGTCATCTTACATCACACCTCTCGGTCAAATGCATCCCTAAGGTGAACTGGAACTGGGTATAATTTTCGTTTGATAGGATTGTCTGTCACTAAGTCAATCTTATGGACTACCATGGAGGTAACACCTGGAATATCAGTAAAGACGTCTGAAAAGTTACTCACACATTGAAGTAGTTCATGTCTCTTATGATCATCCAAAGATTCATTAATATTAATGTTGGTTGCGCCCGAGTGATCAAGAGTCACCAAGTCATGTAGTTCTTCATCATAGTCTAAGTTAGAGGTGTCAATTACGCACAGTTTACATTCTTCAGTTGTCTTATCAAGTTCGTGTGGAAAAACTAAGTCAAAGTTATTAAAGCAGTTAACCGAATTTCTTCGGTAATATTTCTTAAGGATGTTGATATGATAAAGCTAAGGTTTCCCCTTGACTTCTATGAGGTAGTCAACTTTCCTACAAATTTTTAATACTTTATATAGACCTTTCCATGCTACTAATAATTTATTTGACTTGATAGGCAAAAGTACAAGAACTTCATCCCCTACTTTAAGACTTCTCCTCTGACTTTTGGAATCAAAATAGGTTTTGTACTGGTCCATGGACAAGTGTAAGTTTTTCGAAACTATGTCAGAGGTCCCCTCAAGTTTGGATCTAAGGTCAAGGAGAAACTGGTAAGAAGACTGAACCTCAGCATTTACCTCCTCATTAGTCCATAAGTCATGAAGGATGGACAATGGGCCTCTGGCCTGTCTACCATAGAGAAGTTCAAAAGGTGAAAACCCCAGGGACTCACTTGGAACTTCCCTCATGGCAAACAAAGCACAGGGTAGGTAACGATGCCACTCCTTAGGAGCAACTGTGAGGACCCAGAACATTAAAGAAGGGAAGCAACTGTGAGGACCCAGAGCAGTAAAGAAGGGAAGCAACTGTGAGGACCCAGAACAGTAAAGAAATGTAGTAACTGTGAGGACTCATGACAGTAAAGAAGGGAAGTAACTCTGAGGACCGTGAACAGTAAAGAAGGGAAGCAACTGTGAGGACCCAGAACAGTAAAGAAGGGAAGCAACTTTGAGGACCCAGAACAGTAAAGAAGGGAAGCAACTGTGATGACCCAGAACAGTAAATAAGGGAAGTAACTGTGAGAACCCATGACAGTAATGAAGGGAAGTAACTGTGAGGACCCACAACAGTAAAGAAGGGAAGTAACTGTGAGGACCCAGAACAGTAAAGAAGGGAAGCAACTGTGAGGACCCAGAACAGTAAAGAAGGGATACAACTGTGAGGACCCAGAACAGTAAAGAAGGGAAGTAACTGTGAGGACCCAGAACAGTAAAGAAGGGAAGCATCTGTGAGGACTCAGAACAGTAAAGAAGAGAAGCAAATGTGAGGACCCAGAACAGTAAAGAAAGGAAGCAACTGTGAGGACCCAGAACAGTAAAGAAGGGAAGCAACTGTGAGTACCCAGAACATTAAAGAAGGGAAGTAACTGTGAGGACCCAGAACAGTAAAGAACGGAAGTAACTGTCAGGACCCACGACAGTAAAGAAGGGAAGTAACTGTGAGGACCCAGAACAGTAAAGAAGGGAAGCAACTGTGAGGACCCAGAACATTAAAGAAGGGAAGTAACTGTGAGGACCCAGAACAGTAAAGAAGGGAAGTAACTGTGAGGACCCAGAACAGTAAAGAAGGGAAGCAACTGTGAGGACCCAGAACAGTAAAGAAGGGGAATCCCAAATGTGGGAAAAAAACCCAGAACAGTAAAGAAGGGAAGCAACTGTAGGACCCAGAACATAAAGAAGGGAAGTAACTGTAAGGACCAGAAAAAGTAAAGAAGGAACAACTGTGAGGACCCAAACATTAAAGAAGGAAGCAACTGTGAGGACCCAGAACAGTAAGAAGGGAAGTAACTGTGGGGGACCCCGAACAGTAAAGAAGAGAAGCAACTGTGAGGACCCAGAACAGTAAAGAAGGGAAGCAAAATGTGAGAACTCAGAACAGTAAAGAAGGGAAGCAACTGTTAGGACCCAGAACAGTAAAGAAGGGAAGTAAATGTGAGGTCCGAGAACAGTAAAGAAGGGAAGCAACAGTGAGGGCACAGAACAGTGAAGAAGGGAAGCAACTGTGAGGGCCCAGAACAGTAAAAAAAGGAAGCAACTGTGAGGACCCAGAACAAGGGAAGAAGGAAGTAAATGTGAGGACCCAGAACAGTAAAGAAAAAAGCAACTGTGAGGCCAGAACAGTAAAGAAGGGGAAATAACTGTGAGGCCCAGAACCCGTAAAGAAGGGAAGTAAAAGTGAGACCCAGAACAGTAAAGAAGGGAATAACTCTGAGGACCCAGAACAGTAAAGAAGGGAAGAAAGTGTGAGGAACCAGAACAGAAAAGAAGGGAAGTAACTGTGAGGACCTAGAACAGTAAAAAGGAAGTAACTTGAGGACCCAGAACAGTAAAGAAGGGAAAAAACTAGAGGAACCAGAACAGTAAAAAAAAGGGGAAGAACTGTGAGGCCCAGAACAGTAAAGAAGGGAAGTAACTGTGAGGACCCAGAACAGTAAAGAAGGGAAGTAAATATGAGGACCCAGAACAGTAAAGAAGGGAAGTACCCGTGAGGTCCCAGAACAGTAAAGAAGGGAAAACAACTGTTAGGACCCAGAACAGTAAAGAAGGGAAAGCACTGTGAGGACCCAGAACAGTAAAAAAGGGAAGCAACTGTGAGGACCCAGAAAAAGTAAAGAAAGGAGCAAGTGTGAGGCCCGAAAAAGTAAAAAGGGAAGCAGCTGTGAGAACCCGAACAGTTTAAAAAAGGGAAAAAAAATGTGAGGACCCAGAACAGTAAAGAAGGAAGATCTGTGAGGACCCCCGAAAAAGTAAAGAAGGGAAGCAACTGTGAGGGGCCCGAAAAGTAAAGAAGGGAAGCAACTGTGAAAACCCTTAACAGTAAAGAAGGAAAAAATAAAATAGAGAGGACCCAGAACAGTAAAGAAGGGAAGGGAACTGTGAGGACCCAGACATTAAAGAAGGGAAGCAACTGTGAGAACCCAGAAACATAAAAGAAGGGAAGTAACTGTAAAGGGCCAGAAAAAGAAAGAAGGAAGTAAAACCCTGAGGACCCAAGACAGTAAAGAAGGGAAGTAACTGTGAGGACCCATGACAGTAAAGATGGGAAGCAACTGTGAGGACCCAGAACAGTAAAGAAGGGAAGTAACTGAGGACCCAGAACAGTAAAGAAGGGAAGTAACTGTGAGAACCCAGAGCAGTAAAGAAGGGAAGCAACTGTGAGGACCCAGAACAGTAAAGAAGGGAAGCAACTGTGAAGACCCAGAACAGTAAAGAAGGGTAGCAACTGTGAGGACCCAGAACAGTAAAGAAAGGAAGCAACTGTGAGGACCCAGAACAGTAAAGAAGAGAAGTAACTGTGAGGACCCAGAACAGTAAAGAATAGAAGCAACTGTGAGGACCCAGAACAGTAAAGAAGGGAAGCAACTGTGAGGACCCAGAACAGTAAATAAGGGAAGTAACTGTGAGGACCCAAACAGTAAAGAAGGGGAAATAACGTGAGGACCATGACAGTAAAAAAAGGGAAGCAAACTGTTTAGGACCCAAAACATAAAGAAGGGAAGTAACTGTGTGGACCCCAGAACATTTAAAAAAGGGGAAACAACTTGAGGACCCAGAACAGTAAAGAAGGGAAGCAACTGTGAGGGAAACCCAGAAAAAAAGTAAGAAGGGGAAATTTAAAGGAGGACCCATGAAAGTAAAAAAGGGAAATAACTCTGAGAACCCAGAACAGTAAAAGAAGAAGCAAACTGTGAACCCCAAACAGTAAAGAAGGAAGCAACTGTGAGGACCCAGAACAGTAAAGAAGGGAAGCAACTGTGAGGACTAGAAAGTAAAGAGGGAAGTAAGCTGTTAAGGGCCCAAACAGTAAAAGAAGAAGGGAGGTGACTGTGAGGGCCCAGATCAGTAAAGAAGGAAGTAACTGGAGGGCCCAGAACAGTAAAAGAAGGGAAGTAACTGTGAGAACCCAAACAGTAAAGAAGGAAGTAAAATGTGAGGGCCCAGAACAGTAAAGAAGGGAAGCAACTGTGAGGACCCATAACCCGTAAAGAAGGGAAGCAACTGTGAGGACCCAGAACAGTAAAGAAGGGAAGCAACTGTGAGACCCAAACAATAAAAAAGGGAAGCAACTTTTGAGGACCCAGAAGAGTAAAGAGGGAAGCAAAGTGAGGAACCCCGAAGGGTAAAGAAGGGAAGCAACTGTGAGGACCAGAACAGTAAAGAAGGAAAATTTTAACTGTGAGACCCAGAA